ATACAATGTAACTTTGTATAATCAGATCCTTAATATTTAAAAGTAAATTAATTATTGCAATGTTATCTGTCATTGGTAATCTTGTGTGAAACTGTGTGTATCACTTAGTAATGTTACACATGTGATTTATACATGTCTATTACATATATTCCACTAACGTTAGTAAATAACATGACATTTCTTCATTGATATATCCATGAATATTCTAATATTAACTATTACTATTTATATATAATTAAACATAATTATAATTAGTTATATGTGGGTATATATATATATATGTATATATATATATATATATATATTTGTATAACACAAACAGATTTGTGTGTGCTATAATCAAGAGATATATGCTTATCAACTCTATCAGTGTACCAATTTGGAGTTTTTTCAATAAAACGAAGCTGCTACAACACTAAATGTGTAATTCTCCCAAAACCACACAAACACTTATTGCATATACAGAAAATAGTGGAGCGCTATCTTAGTGTAATACATAGACAATTCATATATACATATGTACTAAAAGACACTTAGCTTAATTCGTTATTGAGGTACTTCAATTCTGTGTGTGTTCCTTTAAATAGAGAAATAAACTGCAATAGTATAAAAACATTTAAACAATTGCAAACTCACAATTTCCAGAGCTATGTAACCTAGCTCTAGTATGTATAGCTTATTGGTCCGTTATGGGCGACCACTCCACTTTCTGGATCTTGTAGTTATGGTGCTCTTTCTTTTCCTTGTTTTACTCTAGAAAAAAGCAACAAAGTAATGGTGCAGATCCCCTTATACTTCCATATGGTAAATAAACAGCAATTATTATACTCAGAAGTGTGGAGCCTGTATGCTGGCTCAGTAAAGGTGCCTATTGATTAACCCCTTAAGGACAGAGCTTCAGAAGCTTGTCTTTCACTTAATGACAACAGCATTTTTTGCTGTTTACGTTCACCTGCAATTTGCATATTACTAATTTATTGCACCAACACATGCTATATACCGTTTTTTAAAGGACAGAAAGGGCTTTAATTTGATGTAACATATATATAAATGCTTATTTATTATAAAAAAAATACAGAAAAATGCAAAAAAAATTAAATATTTTGTGGGTTTTTTTTTTTACAGTTTTTGTAATAATAATGTTTGCACAAATAGTGCAGGTTAAGGAAAGTAATTAAAAATAAATTCATTTAGTTGTTCTGATTCACAGAATATATAATGTGTCTGGTATTTTAAGTTTTTTTGGTAGTTACAAGTCACAAAGCACAATGAGTAAAATAAACTTTTAATGTGGAGCGATTTTAGAATTTGGTATGTTTGTCTTGTAAGCTTAATAGCCATAAAAGAAAACAAAATTGCCTCACAAAAGTATATATTTATATAAAGTAGACATCACGGGCTATTTACCAAAGGTTGTTCTGACACTTTCTACGTAGCCATTTCACCGCCAACCTCTGCTAAATATTGGAGTAAAATAGTTTTTTTTTGGTTTTTGGCAAACAAACTTATAACAAAGAAATTCTCATGTGTATTTTGTAAAGTTGGTGTGTGCTATTCCTGTACAAAGTTTTATTTTGTGTTCAGTTACATCTGCTGAGTAAAATGACACACCCATTGTATGTCTTTGGCACTATTTCGTGAAGTTACAGTGCCATAGAGGAGACCTGTCCTTTTCAGTATTCACAGTAAAATTTTGAGAGAAGGATTTAATGAGCCTTTGATTCCATTTGGGGTATTAGAACAGTTTGACTGTTCAAAAAAACCCCATAAAGGCCTACCATTTATAAAAGTAGACACTCCAGGGTATCTCATAAGGTGCATATTGTGCCTTAACATGCCCCCATTTTTTCACCAATATATGCCAAAGTATGTGGTAAAAAATAATTTTGTGCATTTTTTTTACATACGGATTGCATTTTTGCTGGGCATTTTGTATATGCCACTAAGTTCAAACCCCCCAAATTATGCTCAGCTAAGTCTTCTGAGTAAAAAGACACCCCCAATGAATGTCTTTGGCACTATTTCATGAAGCTATAGTGCCATATAGGAGACCAAGCCATATCAGTTTTTACCGAACTTTGACGATGGGCCTATGTGCAATTTCCAAGCATCTTCGCAGGTTTTAAATTCAAACTACCCCACAAAGGCCTACCATTTCTTAAAGTAGACACCCCAGGGTATTTCAAAAGGTATATTTTGAACCTTAGCTTGGGATCATTTTTCCGCTAGCTTGTACCAGGTGTAGTGGTAATAAGCGTTTTTTCTGACTTTTTGACACACAAAGTGAGTTTGCACAGTATATTTTGCAAACCTTATGTGTGCTACCACTGTATAATACTTCATATGTTGCTCAGCTATGTCGGCTGAGTACAGCAATACCCCCGTATGTACCTTTGCCAGGTATATGTGGATGTTGAAGGGGCACATTTGAGATGCAGCCATTCAGTTTTTTTCTAACTTTGAAGTTTTACGCTTGTGTCCATGTTCCAATTTGGAGTAGTTTAGATGGTTGGTTATTGAAACTTCCCCACAAACACATACTATTTATTAAAGAATACACCCTGGGGTAATTCAAAAGGCATATTTTGAACCTTGGCGTGGGATCATTTTTTCTCTAGTTTGTTCCAGGTGTAGTGGTAATGAGCGTTTTTAAAATGTATTTTTTTTACTTTTTAAACTTTTTACTTTTAAAAACTAGTTTTTAAACTTTTGTTTTGCTTATTAATTTTTTTTTAAACTTTCCTAAACTTTCTTAAAACTTTTTTACAGATTTAACATTTTTCTAAGCTTTTTTTACCGTTAACCCCTAACTAGCAGTAAGCAGCACTAACAGTAAATTCCCCATTTTCCCATAACTCCCACCCACCCCAGCTAGCAAAATATATAATTATAAAATATTTAAATTAGTTAATTAAATAAATTGAACCCCTGAGGGTTAAAAAATAAATAAAAGTTAATCGTCAGGGGTTAAAAAAAATTAGATCACAGTATAATACTGTGATCTGTATTTTGATCACTGTAGGCAGTGATCGACTGGCAGGGAAGGGGTTAATTTTTATTTGGACTGGCTAAAGGGGGGTGTTTTTTATTTTTTACTTAAACGTTATTAAAACTTTTTTTAACTTAATTTTGAACTTTTTAAAGCTTATTTTAAAACTTTTTTTAACGTTAACCCCTAGTTAGCCTAACACCAAATCCCCCAATTCCCCACTAACTTCCACCCACCCCAGCTAGCTAAATTTATAATTTTAAAATACTTAAATTAATTAATAAAATAAATTTAACCCCTGAGGGTTAAAAAATAAATAAAAGTTAATTGCCAGGGGTTAAAAAAAAAAAAATCAGATCATAGTAAAATGTAATCCCTGCCAATTGATCACTGTAGTCAGTGATCAATTTGTAGGAAAGGGGTTAATTTTTTATTAAAATGGGTAAAGGGGGGTGAGATTTTAAATTAACTTTATTTATTTTTTTCTAACAGGGACAAGATCAGTGATGATTCGTCTCCCCGCACTTCACACAGAACCAGGAAGTGCAGGGAGGCGGAAGGTGAGTATACTGAGCACATGTGCTCACTCTGACAGCCTGTCAGAGCGAGCACCGGTGCTGGGGCAGCGAGATCGAGTGCTCCCGGTCTGCCTCTAATACAGAGGCAGACCGGAGCACCATTAACCCCACGATCTGGGGTTCATTTTACGTCGTTAAGGGTTTCCACTGAGTGACGGACCCTTTACTCCTGAGTGACAGAGATTGCTCCCTTTACTCCTGAGTGACAGCGATTGCTCCCTTTGTCACCCCTTACTCCTGAGTGACAGCGATTGCTCCCTTTGTCACCCTTTACTCCTGAGTGACAGAGATTGCTCCCTTTGCCATCCTTTACTCCTGAGTGACAGAGATTGCTCCCTTTGCCATCCTTTACTCCTGAGTGACAGAGATTGCTCCCTTTGTCACCCTTTACTCCTGAGTGACAGAGATTGCTCCCTTTACTCCTGAGTGACAGAGGTTGCTCCCTTTGCCATCCTTTACTCCTGAGTGACAGAGATTGCTCCCTTTACTCCTGAGTGACAGAGATTGCTCCCTTTGTCACCCCTTACTCCTGAGTGACAGAGATTGCTCCCTTTGTCACCCCTTATTCCTGAGTGACAGAGATTGCTCCCTTTACTCCTGAGTGACAGAGATTGCTCCCTTTGCCATCCTTTATTCCTGAGTGACAGAGATTGCTCCCTTTGTCAACCTTTACTCCTGAGTGACAGAGATTGCTCCCTTTGCCATCCTTTACTCCTGAGTGACAGAGATTGCTCCCTTTGTCACCCTTTACTCCTGAGTGACAGAGATTGCTCCCGTTGTCATCCTTTACTCCTGAGTGACAGAGATTGCTCCCTTTGTCATCCTTTACTCCTGAGTGACAGAGATTGCTCCCTTTGTCACCCCTTACTCCTGAGTGACAGAGATTGCTCCCTTTACCATCCTTTACTCCTGAGTGACAGAGATTGCTCCCTTTGTCACCCCTTACTCCTGAGTGACAGAGATTGCTCCCTTTGCCATCCTTTACTCCTGAGTGACAGAGATTGCTCCCTTTGTCATCCTTTACTCCTGAGTGACAGAGATTGCTCCCTTTGCCATCCTTTACTCCTGAGTGACAGAGATTGCTCCCTTTGTCATCCTTTACTCCTGAGTGACAGAGATTGCTCCCTTTGCCATCCTTTACTCCTGAGTGACAGAGATTGCTCCCTTTGTCACCCTTTACTCCTGAGTGACAGAGATTGCTCCCTTTGTCATCCTTTACTCCTGAGTGACAGAGATTGCTCCCTTTGTCATCCTTTACTCCTGAGTGACAGAGATTGCTCCCTTTGTCATCCTTTACTCCTGAGTGACAGAGATTGCTCCCTTTGTCACCCTTTACTCCTCTGTGATAATGTCTATAGTAAGAGTTAGTGTGTATGGAATCCTAGACTCTGCAGAGCGCTGTGTGTTTCGCAGTACAGCCTCTAGAGGGCGCTCTCAGACCGAGCAGGTTGTAGGAAGCACCAGGGAAAGGCTCTGCTCCAGCCTGCCGCTCACGCCAGTCCCCCCCAACCGGGCACGATGAGAGCTGTCATCCAAAGGGTCACTCAGGCCAGTGTGACGGGTGAGTGAGGCGAGGTGGCAGCGCTGACAGCCAGTGTGTATCCGCAGTGCTGAGCGGCTCGGGTGCGCAGCTGGTGGAGGGCAAGCAGGCCGGCAGCTTTCATAGCCTGTGCGGGCGACTTGGGGCAATGTGCTGGCCCACTGTCACCGGACACATACACACTGCGGCCATGGTGTGCAGCATGAGCTGGCCCGTCATAGCCACTGGGAACTTCCTGTGTGTAATAAGCAGCATGTCAGCTATTAGGGCACAGGGAGGGAGGGACTACTGCTAGCACCCACTGCTCTCTATTACTGAGATAACTCACTCTGCCTAGGATGATCTATCTATCTGTCAGCCCTGCCTAGGATGATCTATCTATCTATCTATCTATCTATC